CGAAAATGATAATATTCGCAAAATTTTGCCACGTGAAAATATCAAAATCGATAACCTTCGAAAGTTAGCGAAGACCTCGAAGGATAACATATTGAAAAATAGCGAAATACTTACGTTAACGTTAACTTTCGAAGGTTTTCACTAGAAAAAATTTCTTGATGCAGTAAGTCAATTCCTCCATCTCATTCAAGATTAAGGATTTTCTAAGCTTTCAGCTAGTAGGCTTTTGGCTTATAGTGTTAATCGAGGTCCATGGCATGCAAGGGTTATTTGTTTGTGAGCAAATCAATGGTTAAATAAAGGTGAAATTCGTGCATCACGTCGCAGCCATCACTCAAAAATTAATTCATTTCTGCAAGACGAAGACTTCAAGTTACGTATTCTCCAATATTTACGCGCAAATAAGTTTACTCTAACTCTTCATTCATTTATAAAGTTTGTTGAGGAGGAGGCAATTCCTGCTTCGGGAATTGAGACAAAAAAAATGATTTCTGAGGTAACAACACGAAAGTGGTTACATCATCTTAGTTGAGATTACAAAGACCATTCGAAAAATATTTACTTCGATGGCTATGAGCGTGATGATGTAATAGTTTATCGAAATCAATTTCTTAAACAAATTGCCAATTTGCGATCTTGAATTGCAGTATATGAAGGAAAAATATGAAACAAGTTATTTCTCCAATACTTCCACCTAACATTCGTGAGCTTGTCCCAATTACTCACGATGAATCAATTTTTTATGCCAATGATAGTATTGTCAAGACATAGGGTCCCACAGAAGAAAACCAACTCCGGTGTAAATCACAAGGGTTCAGTGTCCATGTGAGCGATTTTATTTGTAAATCGATTGGGCGACTTCGTCTTTCAGATGAAGAACGAGCTACAAATAATTTGCTTCTCGATGATCAATGACTTTTGTATATAGAAGCCTGCGTTATTATGTATTCAGGTTCTAATCGTGACAGTTGATGAACGAATCAAGACCTTTTGAAACAAGTAGACAAAAGAGCTATTCTTATTTTTGAAAGAATGCATCCTGAAAAAGTTGCACTTTTTATGTTTGACAATAATAGCAACCACAATACGTATGCCAACGATACTTTACTTGTTTCAAAGATGAATCTTAAAGATGGAGGAAAACAACTGCTTCTCCGTGATGGCAGAATGCTCAATGGTTCTCTCTATGTTATGACGTTTGTAGATGTTGATAGCATAACAAAACTGAAAGGTATCTGACGAATTTTCGAAGAGCGTGACTTGTGGGTAACAAGATTGGTAAAGCAATGTGATCTGTACAAGTCATATGTCATTGATCCAACAAATCCACAATATTACACAACCCGTATCCTTAGCCAACAACTCAATTTTACATCTCAAAAAAATCATTTGTAAGAAATTATTGAAGCCACCGGACTATACTTGCACGCAAAATTATTTTGGAGTTCCAAAATTGCAATTTCGGAGAAAAAAGTCGAAATAGTTTTTTATAGAAGACAAAATTATTTTACTTAAAACCTAAAATTTTTTGACCATTCAGATTTATTCTTTGATTAAAGATACATATAACTAGGTACTTTTTTTACTTCCATATATAAAATAGATTTTGCATAAATCTCAAAAAGTCGAAATACCTCAAAAATCTAAAATCAATTTTGGGAACATGTATACACTGGACATATGTGCATTTTTTACCCGAAATTTCATTGTGAGCTCAATTTTATTGAGTCATTCCGGAGGGACGCAAAGCGGTATTCACGATTACATTGTGATTATATATTTAGAGACCTTAAAGAAATCATTTCACGTACATTAGATTCTGTTTCATTAATGCGAATTCGTCAATTTGCACGTCGATCTAACCAATACATGAGTGCATATGAACAAGGCCTTTTAGGAAAGGCTGCTGTCTTCGTAGTGAGAAAATATCAGGCACACCATCGTGTTCCAGAGAATATTTTGGAAGAATTCGGTCATATAAAGTAATACAATAATACAAGCACAAGTATAATTTAGATAAGAGTGATTTAGGATATTTAGGAAATAGATTCTATTAATTTAAAATGTTTCACTTTTTAAATAAAAAAATATTCACTAGTCGAAAATTGATAAAACATACACATATCGGATACCCGATATGTGCATGGTATATCCCTAATATCGGGCATATATCGGATACTTGATAAATATAGAAAATATTTTTTTACACTTATCGGGTACCTGATATATATATAAAATATTTTCTACACATATCGAGTACCCGATATATGCCTGATATTAGGGAAACACCATGCACATATCGGGTATCCGATATATATATGTTTTATCAATTTTCGACCAGTGATTTTAGATGTCATTTGACATTTTATTTGACTTTATTAATTTATCTTCATTTTACATAACGGCAATTTTATTAAATCACGTATCATGTGAAATATAACCAATCATAGTACTCAGAATGTAATCACGTGTATCACGTGTAAAAATCTAGCCAATCGGTGATAATTTTTTAGCACTGAAATTTATGTAAATATATATAAAAACTCGATTTTTTTAAACTCTAACTACTCAATAAATTATTAATAAATATATCAAAAAAAATACATTAAATTGTAGAGCTTATCTAGAGCTATCAAATGATATATATTTTTTAAAAATTCTATATTTGGATACAAAGCCTTAGCAGTTCAAAAAAAGTTTAAAATATTTGATGTCTTTAAATTTTTTGCACCATATAACAGCTGAAATAAAATGAAGCACAACAGCACAGTATATAAGAAATAAGGAAAACTACGAAAAGATTAAAAAAAAAATTAGAAACATGCAAACCTAAAGTAATAGAAGCAGTATTAGACAACTTACTAAATGTAACAAACACTTCTTTTTCATATATTTTATCTTCTTTATTTTTAAGCTTAGATATTAGTGGAACCATGGCAGTGGAAACCTACTAATTTTAAAAGTAAACTTTAGTTTATTTTTAATGGTAGTAGGTTAATCAGTAGACCTAGTCTTAGATAGTTTTATTTTTTCATTTGTAATTTTTTATACAATCTAAATGAAATAAAGTGAGACTACATTGGTCACTCAAATCAATCAAATCAAAAGTTGTCACATATAAAAATTTATTATTTTATAGTAAAAATTAAAAGTGATACTAAGTAGCCTTGAAGATAATATTATTTTACACATATTGTAAAGTTTGCAAACCTATATTATAAGAATTAAGGAAAAGATTAACAATTATTTCTTAAAGTTTAATCGGTGATTATTCGCTATATTCTCATGATGTAGCTTTAAAAACTTTATAGTAGATGCACAATAATTTTCTCTTTAAGATTACTTAATATCATTTTTAAGATTTTATTGTTAGAAAAAATGTTTTATATGTAGAATTTATTGATTTGATTTGAGTGACCGACGCGGTCTCGCTTTATTTCATTTAGATTGTATGTAGAATTTATTGATAATTTTCCTGAAATGACAAAATGATCAACAATAATTTCAATTGTTTTTTAGTCAAGTCTAAGTAAAGTTCTGATCTTAACTAGAAAACAGCAAATGTGATACTAATAAATATTGTAGACTTGGTTTAGGGCTACAAGTTCATATAAGATATATTGTACTTCCGGTGGATAGTTATGGAGAACGAGAGACATTACGATTAACAATTTGATTTGCAATTTTTGGATAACTTTATTTAAGACAAGATTTCTGTTCAAGCAAGTATCCAATTTTAACAAAAAAGATATCATATAATAGCCATTGATCAGGTGATCTTTTTAAAAAAAAGTTTACGCAATTTAAATTATTCCTTGTGTCACAATTTGCCCTTGAATTTTATTAATAAATTTGGTAAAAAAACAGTTACCCGGATACTTTTGGCAGGTTGGTGTATAGTTATTCCAGAGCATCTTTGAGAATTGGGTCTTATTCAATAGAGTTAAACTTTAAATTGTAAATTATAAATCGAAATATCACAAGTACGCAAAAATACTATCAAGAGGTTATATATGCAAAAACCTTTATTTAACAGAATTAGGTTGAGAATAAATTTGCGTATTGTCTTTTACATATTGCAAAAAAATATTTTTTCAGTATAATATACGTTGCATTCGAAGTACGTAAAGTTAGTTTTTCATAAAGACCTTCACTTATTTTTTGCTTTTACATTATTGGCAATCCAAGACTCCAACATGTCTAAATCAATATCCTCTGTTATCACACCTATTAAAATTTTTTCGGAAGAAACAAGTTCGTAACCATTGAGAAGTAAAAAATATTAATGGTAAGGTTGACAGCTCTCTTATTTCCATCCAAGAACGCATGGTTCTTTATAATACTCTCCCCAAGACCTGCGGCCATTCTAAACAATGATGCTTTATCATAAAAAAACATGAACTTCGGTCTCTGAAATGCGAATTCTAGTAAACCATATCCCTAATATACTATTTTTGATTCATACCTTCCATTATTGATTTATGCATTTCAATAAACAAGTCTAACTTGATCACTTCGGCTCATATTCGTTATTTGAATTTTTCGTAGAGTAACCTTTGACCGTTGTATTCATTTGTCTCGTAGGTGCAAATAAAGATCCCAATCTTTGTGGATTGTATATCTCCCCGCTTCTCTTTACAAATCTTGCGGAGACGTACGAGCTTGAGTAAATTTTGCACAAAAGAAGGAATTTAGCTTATGGGTATACAAAAAATAGATAACAAAATTTATTGATTCATACCTGAGATTTCATCCCATGTTTCCGTATCTGAAGGACGACCAAACTCAGGAGGTAATTGATAATTTTGATATTTGGAACGCCCTGCTAAACATTTATGCAAGTAATATCATAAGTGCAAATTCAAAGGAAAAGTGGTAAAATAGCATCAATACTTACGGCTTAGGAAAGAGCTCCATCGTGAAAGGAAGGCTGGATACCTCATTGAAAAAAAGTTCAAAGTACGTTGGAGTAATTTTATTCAACGTAATATCGGTAATACAAAGATTTGTAATCAATACAAAAAATCAAAATCACGTTTATATAATCAGTTTGATAATCGAAGTTATTTATATACTGTGGTGTTTGAAGTTAGAGTGAGAATTTCAAATAATAACTTAACATGTAAAAATCAAAGTAAAAAATAGTAATAAATAAAGTCTAAAGTACTAGCCCTCAGGAATAAATAAGATAATTTTATTTTAAAATAAATAGATATACAGTGTGTTACAAAAGTCTTTGGAAAATTTTATTAGGCTATTACACAACAAGGGTCGATTCAAATTACGTGC